TCACAGTTGCACTGAGATCTGCTTTTCACTTACACCCAGCAGAATCTATCTATGCAAATAGTCGGTTTGGTGATATGTGTGTCTGACATTCCTGCCACCACCCCAATGCAATGGAGGTAAAAAAAAAATCACATTATTACATGAACCCAGAAGTGTAGTTTTTTTTTTTTTTTTTGAAATGTTGAGTATGGGTCCCCAGCATATAGAAACTACCAGACGCTTACTTACAATTAATATTGGTAATATTGGTAACAATATTGGAATGGTGTTGGGGGTTATTGACGATGAAAAATCAATTTCTGACATTTTCAAAATACAAAATGGCCATTTGAATCACCGTCCATTGTATTAGGCATATATAACCTCAAAATCATCTCAGAATTCAACAAAAGTTCAAATATGGCCACTCCGGGTTGAAATGGCCATTTTGTATTTTGAAAATGTCAGAAATAGATTAAGCATCCTCAATAAACTCCAAAATGCACACCAATATTGTTCAAATCTGCCAAACAGTTTCCGAAATATTCTCCATAAGGGTAATTATGCTTATTGATGCTAAGTATGATAACTAGGGAAGTTGCCAGACATATGCAAGTTAGCATCCAGCAGTTTCTAAAGGCTGGGGACCCACACTCTACATGTCCAACATAAAACGTTGGGGTACTCAAACTGGGTAAAATTGATTAATGAAACAAACTTTCATTTGTCAAAAATCTCAAGAGATCTCAAAACCTGGACAAACAAAACCAAAACTATCTGTGTGGCTGAATAATATTAGAGATAAGTGAAAAAATACATGTTTTTTTCAATAGTTGACCCAATGGTAAACCCACGCAAGTGATTATTTTGGCTGATTAGACCTCCTCTCAGGACTGTGTGGGTGTGTACAGACTGTTTGACTGACTTCTCCCTCACTAGCTTTGTTATGGAGGGACAAATAACACCATGTATATATGTATATCTCCTTATTAGTACACAGGGTTTGGTGACATAATTCCTGCATAGCTCTGCCCACCTTCAAAGTGATCAGAGGTCTAATTTACCCAGTGGTTCTCAATTATTTTCTGTCATGCCCCCCCTAGAGGACAGATTTTTTTTTGACCATGTCCAATGCTGCCGGAGTATTAGCTCCTCTGCTATTGTGTGATGGTTTTTTGCACCTTGCGATGTGGCGGTGTTTGTACGAGGCTAACGGTGCGTTTTTATTTACTGATGTCGTGCTCACTAAATGACCGGCCTGTTGGCGATACGCATCGAGTATCCGGTGAAAAAAGTCCAGTGGCTTATTGACAGAACTGGGGTGTAAGGTCTCCAGGTGCCGTCTTAATTTGTTTGGTTTCATGCTGTCCGCTGCCAGAGTTTTTAAACATAAAACACACACAGGTCTTTCCTCATTTCCGACCGTATTCACGGTAAACCCAGGGCTATGTAGGTTTCATCGTATTTCCTGCTCTTATTAGGTTTATTCCGGTTACAGTCACTTGCTGTTCTTGCCTCTGACGGCTCCTCCATTTTTCTTTTTACTCCTGTCAGAAACTTCTCCATCTCTCCTCCCCCGTCAGTCCCCCCTGCCTGTCGGGCCCCCCCGACACCTCACTGCGCCCCCCCACTATTTGAGAAGTACTGAATTAACCTAACTGAAAATACATTTTGACTCATCGTAGTGTGAAAAGGTGTTACTAATAGAACTACCATTTTATTCAAGTCTCTCCATTTACACCTGTAATTTGTTGTCTTCCATGAAACATGTAAACTTAAAGTGTCTCACAAAAAGTGGATCACAAACAAAGAGGGGAAAGCTCAACATATGGTAAGTACAAAGACAACTGTCTGTGTGTGTGTGTGTGTGTGTGTGTGTGTGGAGAGAGAGAGAGAGAGAGAGACTCACTACTCTAGTTTTTAAAGCCTCCATTATTTATTCACTGTAATCCATTGGCTGTGATAATTCTAACACTGTTGCTTTGGTAGATTTAATTAAAAATAGATATCATTCTTACAACTATCTTTTCTCAATTAACTCAGGGTTGTACTTAATTGGAATGCATTTGTTTAAACTTCTTCTTAAAACACCCTGATTTGACTAAAAATACATAGATTTCATCTCATGATCTGTCTACAAAATGTCACAGGCCTTAACCCGTTCATTAACGGCTGCTGTTGGATGTTTGGCTTTGAGTAGTGGTTCAGCTGAAAGAAGGGGAGTTACTCCCCAGAGGAAGAGCCTGATCTGGTCTGTATGCCTGCATACGACTTCAATTACAACAATCATAATAATTAGAGTAAGTGATTATGTTTTAATGAGAAACCGTTAAGCTCAAGTTTACAAAAGTCTATTATTTCCACTGAGGACTGCTTTTTTCTCTGCAGCGCTGTGAACTTTTCACCTCCGAGAGCACGACCCGTCCAATTTCCTCATAAACGTCGATATGCACACAAATAGAGGATCATTTCCACATTAAAATCCTTAAAAAGTCATCTACTTCTTCTACCTCATTATAAATTCCAGAATCTCATCACTGAATATGCAAATGTCATTCATTTCTAAAGTTGGACACAAGATGTCTCCTGCTTTACTGTAAAGTCCATTCTCTCTACATCACACTGTACAAGTTGCATACTGGACCAAACCCTGCACATACATCATTATGCACCGTGAAGATCAAATATCACACTGTAGGAACAAGAAGGAAAACATATTTGACTGGAGGGGGGAAAAGAGAAATTAGGAAGAAATAAGAAATTAAGTAAAAGAATAATATAATAATAATTTCAGACCAATATTGCAACTGTGATTTAAATTGAATTATTCTATAAAATTAGCTCCAGGCCTGTATTTGTCACCTACTAAACAAGGCATTGTTTGGGTGAGAGAAGTTACACCTTTATCTTTCTTATGGGTTCATGAAGTTTGGTGACTTTATGCAATTCCAGCGTAGCTCCACTCAGCTTCAATCTGAGCTGGCTACAAATCAGCTAGAGTAAATGCAAACACCTGTGTGGGTGCACAGAAGCTTTAAGTGGGAGATTCCGACCACTGTTCACTCTCCGCCAGCTGCTGGTCATTTACACTCGTCCTCTACTAAAGAGCTAGCTGCTATGTCTGAAAATTACACTATGAAATCAGCTAAATTGTTAAGCTGGATAAAGACTCCGCCGGCCTTTTTTCAACAGCAAAAAAAAAACACTCCTTGTCTTTTCAAGCATCTAAATTATACAGAGTGGCATTTCTATCTTTAGAAAACCATCTTTGGCCAATCGGCTAAGTACAGGCAGAGGTGCATGCAGGGAACATGTAATTAGACGACATGCGTTTTTTCATGGGAGACACTTTGACATGTCATGTAGGAAAAGCACAGGTGTAAGTTATAAAATGAATGATGGCTGGATTCCATTTAGGTATGTTGGCTCACTGTCAATTGAAAAGAACAGAGCCATTGTTAATGTTGTAGGTTACACCTGGGCTTTTTCTACTATGACAAGGCCAAAATCCACTCGCTCATCCTCTCCTCCCTGTACAATAGACGCTCTATAGTTTATACTGTTGTGAGCAGAACATTGAAATTGTGGATACTTATTAATTAACATTTTATACCATTACTAACAGATCGAGTACCGTATAATAAAATTAAATGCACTGCATTGCATTGCATTGTGGGATTGTTAACATTGATAGTACTTTTTTGCAGGGGTGGAAGTAAGAAATTACAACTACACAGGTTATTATAATTAAGTCATTTTTGGGGGTATTTTTGTAAGTCTGTAATTTTACTCTTAATTACACACACTACAAGGAGTTTTTAACTGGTCATGAAACAGTTGTCAATTAAATACGGATGCCTCTATATGAGCTATAAACAAACAACACCATCAGACAGAACATTGGCTATTTCCATACAGTAATTCTTGATGCCTGCCACAATGTTGGATTCCCCTTGAAATCAATGAAACACGGCAGTGGAAACACTACTAATCTCTACATTATGTAATCTGCTTTACTACTTTTAAGATCATAATTTGCTACTGAGTAGGTCTACAATTTATATCCAAACCTTTCATCAGCATTTTCGTGGCCATTCGCATTAGGCACACAGGAAGAGGAAGAGGAGGAGGAGGAGGCGCAGCAAAGCGTCCTGAAGTGCTACCTGCTTCCTTGCAGCGCCAATAGTAACCAATTGGGCTATTCAGACAGCGCGCTGCCATTTGGAGCTGCTGATCAGTGATATTCTGCGTCCGTTCTATTTCTTTTAAAACAACACTGCAGCAGGCACAGGTTCAGAGAGATGACCACACTGATCAGAACATCGCAGGAGTCAGGAGTAACTAGGCACTGAAGATTTTGAGAAATAGAAACCAAAGGGAGACAGTGCCTAGCTGTTTGTTTGCAGTCCGTTGGGAGAAATTTATATTAATTACATGTATTCTATGCAGATTCCAAAACATTTTTAGAATTTTTAGATAAGACAAAATTCTTGCTTCATCTGTGTATTAGTTAGAAAACAAATTGCATCTATTCATCCATTCATACCTTTTATCATTTATCAGAGAAATGTTTGTTGAAAGTAGATATTTTCTACATGGATCTCCGCTATTAATTGAATGCCTGCTATTGATAATGCATTAAACATCAACGGTTAAAAGGTCATTTAACTCTGAGTAGTTTTAGACAAGAACACTCTAACACTTGTACTCTTACTGAAGTATTTTTTGAACACCAGTAGTAATATTTCAGTACTTCTACCTGAGTGCAGATTTTCAGTACTCTTTCCAACACTGCTTTTCTGTTTCACTGTAAGAACTTTAGAGGGCACTATGTAGAGCACATATATAGAGGCTAAATATAGTGCACTATATAGTAAACGGGGAGTGATAGACTGACCACCCAAACTATTGTTAATGTGTTCAAAAAGCACTTGACAGTTGAATGAGGACACACACATAGATTGCTATATAGATGAATACAGACCCACACCCACACACAGCTGTGCATTCTCAGTGTTTACCTTTAAAGGCATTTGTGGCCGGTAAGTCAGTTTCCTGCATACTGCTCCTTCCCGCGCTCTGCCAGCTGCTGCCGATGCTGCGATGGATGCCAATAGACAAACCTTAACCGGTCCGAGCCACGGCCACTGGGGGGAGGGAGGGTGGCCGAGAGGAAGGGGCGGCGCCTGCCGGTCTCACTGCCATCTTTCTTCATCAACAGTCCATGTGCGGGAATGAAAGGCCGCTGTCTGTCAAACTCTGCAGCGGGCGACTGTCGCACAGTCACTCTAGTGCTCTAAGTACGGAGCTGACTGGTTAACTAGTCTGTGTGGTGGTTTAACTGTCTTCTGACAGTGTTGCTACTGCTGAGTGCACAGGGCTTGGGGAATATAGTGATAGCTAAGAGGGAGAGGAGCACAAAAAGATGGAGGGGGACTTTATAGGGGTTGAGACAATGATCTGGGGTTGGGTGGAGGAGGATGGATGAAGGTTTAGGAAGTTGCAGTGCACTATCCTCCCAGCAGCAGGCCTGCAGCCATGGCCAGTACCCTGAACTATTGGCTGTCTCTCAAGTTTTCAACCTGCCTGGCTGCAGGTGAGCGTCTCAGCCTCTTTTCTGCCTGTGAGCTAAGAATCTATATATCTGTCTGCCTCTCCTCCGCAGTCAGGTTTGTCTCTTAAACTCAGCTCTAATCAACATGCTGTCTCCTCCGATTTTCCAAGCTCTTTTGCTGGCTTGTTCCTGTGCTTTTTTTGTTGTTGTTTTTTTGCCTCCTGTCCTCTCCTCTCTCTCTTATGTCTTTTGTCCTGTTGCTGCAGTCCCGAGCTCAGCACGAGGCGCTCTCACACTGGCACCGCAGCTAGAGAAAAACACAGACAGAGGGAGAAAGTCAGTGAATAAAATCATGAGATACCTAAAACAACAGGCGAAACAGATACACCCAAGCAAAACATGGGCAGGGCTAACGGCTGGCCTGCACTGACCAGTGGAGAAAAGTGCACAAAAACAACACTCATCCACATCCACCCACGCACACACCCACGCACACAGCAGAGGACGAGCTGCAGTGTGTGTGTGTGTGTGTGTGTGTGTGTGTGTGTGTGTGTGTGTGTGTGTGTGTGTGTGTGTGTGTGTCTCAGTTTGGATAGCAGGTGGGTGGCTGGCTGGCTGGCATGGCCCCCTTTAGTTCCTCTCACCCACTAGGTTCTTACATGAAAGAGAAAGTTTTTCTGAAAGCCAAGCGCCGCCTGTGACCCTATTTCACAGAGCAGGGGAGAGATAGAGCCACATGTCAGTGTGCCACTTTGAAGTCTGCCTGATAAACAGGGCTGGAGGAGGCTACGGCTAAGGAAACAACAAAACTTTATTTACATTTCAAAAGTGCCAAGTGCTGCTTTTTTGTGTGTCTGGGAAAGGAATGAAATCTAAAAAAAAAAGAGGAGGGTGAAGAGGAGGAGGAAGGGAACCGGAGGAAGACCGGTTTTGGTAGAAAAGTAACAACTGCTACTCTTTATTGTAGTTGTTGAGAACATACGCGTTAAAATGAGGGTGCAGGAGAGGTAGATCACATGGAGCATGGGGGGGGGGTCAGAGAGGAGAAAGGCCGACGTTGAAAACAAAAGAAAGAACAAGGGAAACGACATGTAGGAAAAGGAAAAGAAACAAAAAAGAGAATAAAAAAAGTTTCAAAAAGAGACAAGGAGAAGGGGGCGGAGAGAGACTGAAATCAAACATAAAGCGATGTAGGGGTAAAAAAAGTTCAAGAAAGAATCGACACGGGACGAGAGAAGGGAGGAATTTGTTGGTGAGAAAAGCAGACAGACGGTAAACAAACACACGCCCTGTCTGAGGTTTGGAAAAGGCTCGACAGATCTCAGTTAGCTAGTCTTATCTCAGCTGCTTGCCTGTTCTTATTGGGTCTTATCGCAGTAAGGATACACACAACAGCTGTGCCCTGACAAACAGAAAAGTAAAGGCGAGAACTGGGCTGTCGTGACATAGAGGCATATTTACTTTATTATGTTCCTTACCACTGATGTTCGTGACTAAGCAAAATGTCCAGAGTCAGAGTTCATGGACTGGAACTTTTTAAAAAAAAGAGTTTAAGATCATCAGATGGGCTTAAATGAGCAACTTTGGTTTCATAGAGGTTAGCCAATCAAAGAGCTGCTTTGATTGAGAAGAAAGGAGAAGAAAGGAAAGGAAAGGATAGAACAGGAAAGGAAATGGAAGGAAGGAAGGAAAATAAAGGAAAGGAAATGAGAGAAGAGGAGAGGAGAAGAAAAGGAAGGGAGAGGGGGAAAGGAAAGACAAGAAGAGAAGAGGAAACAAAATTAAAAGAAAGGAAGGGGTAAAAAGGAGAGGAGAGGAGAATAAAAGAAAGGGAAGGTGAGGAGAGTCGAGGGGAAGGGGAAAAGGGGGAGGCTCCACACTGGAAAGATTGATTACAGTGTTAGAGCAGAATTATCACAGAGTAATCCTGTGTTTGATATTGAGAAGAGCAGCCTGTGTGTGTGTGTGTGTGTGTGTGTGTGTGTGTGTGTGTGTGTGTGTGTGTGTGTGTGTGTGAGAGTTTGGTAATCTTCTGTTTATCCATGTTGAGGCCTATGGAGTTCACTGTTTTCACAGGCTGAAAGATGATGCAGCAGTTTCAGTGCTAACAGAGCGGTCTGTCTTCAGAGAGTCTCAACATTAACTCTGTCTGTTTTTACAAGTGAATTCACTTCCTTACACTGTGTGTGGCTGCCCAGCAGCACCAGAGAAACTCAGCATTTGCTTGTTTGTCTGCTTGTGATTACAGCTTACAATCTGCCTGTATTGATATCAGCAGTACAGTTGTAATGGGAGAGAAAGACTACTGAGGGCTTCCAAAACCTGATCATGTGAAAGGTCTTTCTTCAAAGTTCCAACAACAAGTCGCTTTCTGTTCTACTCAGTTCTGTTTGATTTGACAAATGTTTGGAATAAAATGTGCAATTTATTGAACAGAGTTTTGAACATTCTGAGAGAATATCATGTAATTGTATTTATTTATAGTTTGTTTAAGACAGAATTTACTTCATTTTTTTTGATTGTTTCAACTGTTTTAAACTTTGTGATAATGCACGTTTTAGATCATTCAAAGGGTTTTAGAGAGATCTTTTACTCATATTCTTCAGGTTGGCTAAAAACTTAAAAATGACCAAAGGATTTACTGCTCCTGATTTCCTGCTAAATAAAGTATGGCATTATGGAGATGAAGTAGGCCGAAATATCCTGATTTAAGGGTGGGAGATAGGGATAAAAACCTTGTAGCATATATCGTTTTACACTGCCATATCAATACATAATGTGACATTTTAGTAATAGCACATTTCCTGCAGGATCAATTGAAAAAGACTTTATGGATACAGTAACCAGGCAGGTATCTGTCATACATCGATGCACAGATCATATAAAAACCCAGTTATCTGTCCTGCAAAGGTTTAATACAACCACAGATATTAAAGGGATAGTTACTGCAGTATAAACAGTATGGAAAATGATATAGTATATATACTGTACATCGCCCACCCCTCACATCAATCAAAACATCCATCTTCAAATCTGACTGTGGCCTTACATATCCTCTGCACCTTCCTGAAACATTGCTCTAGATCCCCATTAAGGACCCCGGCTGGCCCCAGGACCCCAATTTAAAAACCATAAGCAAAATACTCTTTTTTGGGAGTGGCTAATGTGAATTATTAACAAGCAGTTCCAACCAGAAACATATCATTTACTTACATAATGAATACCCTATTCTATTTTGACAAACTAACAAACCAGCTGACACACAACTGGAGCAAAAGTGGCAAAAGTAAATTATTGATTTATGAAACTTAACATTGAAAAAGGGCAAAAGTCACAGAATGTATTTACCTTTTCTTAATCTAATGGCAGAACATTTTCTTACTTATTCTTTTCACAGTATGGAGCAGCAGTAAGGAAAGAAACAGGAATTAAATAGTGGGATTTTTACAACGTGTGCATATTCCAGTAGTTGATAAGGCCATTATTGTGTAGTGTGAATTAAATCACACTCTGACTCTACCACTCTATTCTGGTGGAGAAATTAAAACATCATATGCTGTATTCAGGAGTCCCAGAGTTAGGACTTTATATCTGATTCCATTATATTATAAATGTTATATTATTTATGTTATATTTCATACAAAACTACTGCACTGCATAAATCTTCAATGGCTCCTCAGGTGGATAGTATCATTCCTTCCAACCTGACACAAAAGCTCTTTCTGCCGACTCCCTGTAAAAGTCAGTCCAGCCTGACCCCACAGACTGTCTGTCTGTCTGTCTGTCTGTCTGCTGGGTCATCTGAGGCCAGCCAGTCGTCATGACAGGCTGTGGAACACGTTGTTTGCTGTTTGACAGCGGGATTTGAGGCTGTAGGTGGATGTTTATCTGCGCTCTGGTCATTTCGGGACACCTCCTGGTCTCCTGTCTTATCTCTGATGCATCTGACTGTAAGACTTCAAAGTCTGAGCAAAGCAGAGAACACAAAAGTCTGGAAAACACCACAGCAGCACAGTGACATCTATAAAAGGGACAATGAAGTGCTTTTACTGTTCATTCTCCGTCAACTTTTGTTAAGATAAAGAAATTGAAACAGCAGAAACAGACAAAAAAAAGATGTGTTTGTTAAAGCTTTGTAATATTGTGAGCATGCTGACAGCTCTGACACAAGGGTGGATACAGTCTCTTTGGTCATTCTGCTATACTGACAACAAGCACGGCTGCAGAGCCAAGCAGTGTCCTCTATACATTGAACCATGCTGTGTATAACAGCTGTGCTTTGAGCTAAATGCTAAGGTCAGTATTTCAACTTGGTAATGTTTAGCTGGTATAATGTTTATACCATGTTCACAGCTTAGCTGAGCATGTTAGCATGCTAACATTTGCTAATTAGCTATAAACATAAAGTACAATAAGGCTGATGGGAATGTCATTACGAAGAGTGAGACCCAGAGGGGCTTAAGTGACATTTTGGGTTAAAATGAGTTATATATCAAATAAAAGCTCCTGATAAGCTCTTTTTTACTTCTAAAAGGACACATGGGAATCAATCAATCAATCAGTCCAGAGTTATTAATGAAAAACCAAAAGACCTCAAACTGAACACACACAACTATGTCCACAACTATGAGTGCGCTATTTTTTTTTCTCAATAAAATACATAATATAAAAGTATTTTGTCATCCACATGATTATGAAGTATTAAAGGTCCAGTATGTAGGATTTAGTGGCATGTAGTACTGAAGTTGCATGCTGCAACTAACTGAACACCGCTTATGTCAGTATTTGATGATCTTTGAATGAGAAAGGGCTGCAAAAATTGCGGAAAACATGAAAGGCCCTGTAAAAAGGTACTGTACAAACATGGCGGTTCAATATGGCGGACTCAAGGGAAGGCAATCCATGGCGTCTGTAGATAAAAACAGCTCATTCTAAGCTAACAAAAGCACAACAGTTCTTATTTCAGGTGATTATACACTAATGAAAACATACTATGAATATTATATTCCATTTCTGCCAATACACCCTGTGGATGTTACACACTGGACCTTAATAGGAGATATTGCAATTCATCCTCAGGGAAACATGAATGTCTGAACCAAATGCAATGGCAATCCATACAATATATGTGAAGATATTTCACTCAAAACTGCAAAAGTCAACCTCATGGGGGAACTAAAAGAAAAGTCAGGATCATCAAAGTCAATTCAGGATGTGAATCTGTCTGGAGTCTGGAGTCAATGTTCTGCCCATACACAGTGTGTAGCCTTTCATTCTTTAACAAAAACAATCTTACCTCTGTACATA